TACACACAAATCATCTTTAACGGAGAAAAGCCCGTACCGGGGAATATTTAGGAACCCCTTTAGCTTCCCATGAACAAAACGTACTCTGGCTGAACTACGAATCAGAGTCAGTTGAGTTGATAGAGGCAGATGTGTAGGCACAAGTAGCTCACTGGACGATGTCCTCTTCGTCTAATAACGGTGCTTGTAAGGCCTTACGCATGTGCGCGCATTATCTGCGATAAGGCAAGGCCATGTAATTTTCACATTAGTGCGTTGAAATTGTAACGGTCTCCACCAGCAAACTTCGCATGTTGAACCGCCGTCCGTTTCAACAGGTAAAAGTTCCCTAATAGGGCTTACGCACGGAAACTTCAGGAACAGGACCACAATTCGTCGCGTACATCTATCCTTACAAGTTTTTGGTGCACTCCTAGAGCTAATCAAATATAATAAGAATTCATTTTGTTGGTACAGTAAGCGCCGTACAAACCTCATTTTCCTTCACCACACTGCACGTTTGCTCATCCGAAATTGAATCAGTAATGAGAACAAAATTAGGGAGCAATTTATACAGAAAACACTGCATATGAAAGATAAAGAGTTTGGTGAAAACTTTTAATAAGAGCTGCACACACATTGAAATGTCTTCAGTGTATCACCACATTTCTCTGTCAAAAGCAGTCAGTCGTCTGGTTCCGAGCTTTTTAAGAGAAAAATTTTCCATACTGCTTGTGAGGTTCTCTTATGTAGGTGTGGGCATTGTGACGAGCGAAATTAGTGCTAACCAGGATACTAATATTTCGGTTAGCACTAATTACTGTAAACATAAAACTATGCTCATTTGGATGGTTCCGTCTGTGGAGGATTAGAGCTTTTTCATTTTTGCATCTTTACTCTGTACTATGTAAGAAAGTGAATTAATAGCCCACTTTATGAACGTGTCTATGGGGTATCACGGCGATGTTGTCAGGCATTTGTTTTAGGTAATCTGTGTGAGACTGAATAACTGTCAGCAGGACATACAAGATGTGGAATATGGATAGGCAAGCAGCATGGACCAAGTGAGGTTGGCGCAAACGTGGTTGCTGTTGGATGTCCTTACAGGATGAGCAATACGTCCTAGTCAAAGTGACATGCAGCAATAAAGCACCATCGATTTCAAAGCTCTCACTTCCTTGTGTTCTTGCATTGACGTCAATGTAGGCCGGCTAAAGGATGTTCCACTAGTGATGGTGTCATTTCGTTCTCCGGTAAGTTGTAATTTGAAAACCATCGTCGATTTATAAGACACTTACTCTATAATACACTACCGTGATAACCAGGGTAGCCATGCAATATGGAAAATAGTTGAGCAAATGGGAACTAGACTGACGCTCAGAAGAGACATTTGTGAAGCTCATTGACAACGTCCACCAAATAGGGTGCCAAAGACTGCGTAACATAAACGGAAATCACTGTTACAAGATTCCCTAATTACCTGCCAACACCCCTATTTTCATTGATGGAAGTCTAGGAGCTCTGTTTTTTTGGGTATCTGATCACTGTAGATTGCATGTATATAAAACATTGTGAACAAAAAAATCCGTAGGAAAAGCTAATGCCATTACTCGCTAGTTTGAAATATGAACACTAAAGGCTAGCAAGAAATGAACCACAGTATAGTCACATATATAGGATGTGGTCACCATGGCACCAGCCCCCTCGTAACTTTCACGTCCAAAAGGAGCCCGTTTCGGTAAGTAGTAAACGCGCAGATTCGGAAGTCATTGGAGAGGATTATCTGGACCTAAAAACATCATCCGGAAACGAATCAAGAACTTTAATAAAGGCAGTGAATCGGAATAAAACTGATCCACATTTTTCTTATCCGAAAGGATGGAAATGCCTCATTTCCTAAGCACAAACGCATCGCCCCGGATTCATCGTAGTCCGTCGTATCTCCTGAGCAACGACCATACCGGTCTTTTCTGTTTCACCTGTCGTCTCAGAAACAGTCGATTCAATAGCTTAATATTTTTCGCATCAATAATCGGGAATTCGGAGGCTCCTTCCCAAGTTTCATGCCTCAACACACACTCAGACCTTCGTCATTGTGCGTATGGTTAGATAAATAACAGCAATCCTCAGTAATTAAAGTGGCACAATATGCCTTTCCCGTGGTTGTATTAACACCCAGAAGTCCTTAGAGTATCACTGAGCCGTGTGGAAGATATATCAAGGCCAACCATATTCAAACGGCAATGTGAAGGTAATCTGAAGAGGAGCACATTTGTGAGATTAGCTACATAAGTAAAATGATCTATTCGTTGAGAGCTAGCACCAAATATATCAGACGGGAAGCCAAGAGGTTGATACCAAACAAATGAGAGCACAGGAATCAAATTTTCTCCGTTATCATTACTACCTTCGTGACCTGTAAGTTATGCAAGGGGCTCAAAACTGTTTGATGTTGTCCAAAGACCTTGGGTGGGTTTTTGTCGTCCAACCCCGTTTCGCATTAATTGCACATTACTGTACGCCGAGCAAGCAACTCAAAGAAACAGCGAAACTCCTCTCCGAGGTGTGTGTTGGCGATTTGGAGTGGTTATTAGCATGACTGTTCCGGTCGTTCACTGAAATTGGACAATATACACTCATATCATAGTGAATGCCGTTTAAATGTTTCCCGTGATGTAAAAGTAAACTAGGAATTGCGTTTTTTTTACAGTTTTCCATTGCCGTGTCTAGCAACCATGCATTTTCACGAATGTCAGTTAACACCACGGTGGATCTTCTGTGCAATAACACAATGCCGAGATGATAATCACGGTCGGACCAGATTGCACGTTGTGTACTCTTTGGTCAGAAAGCGCTGCTGTTCTGCACCCAGACGTAGCCAATAATTTTCTAGTAAGTGAACAGATGAGGATTTGTCCACTGATTATGCAAGTCAGACCACGAAGGGACAAAACTTTGGGCATGTTCTGATTGATAGTAAAGTATACTCACAGGGAAACTAGTCAAAATATGGGCAGCCCAATATTTTTGGACACTGTTTACCAGGAGTTAACCAAGTGCCCACCCATGTAAGGGTCGATGGGCCATTTTGTCGTGGTCGGTCGGTACCGTATCATACAAATCAGCTTTGTCAAAGAAAATCGCCAATATTACCACATATCTGTCAAAATTCCAGTGTTCTGGTGTCGAAGCGAGCACTTCAGCAAACAGCAAAATCGCCGCATTCCATCAGCCGCTAAGAATAGAGAATCTCGTGAGCACAAAGCTCAAAAGTGACCAATTAACGAGAGGGGATATGTATAGTAGGAGCAGGTAGGTCTAACTCCATGATAATAATCAGAGTGACCGGTATACAGATTTAGCCAAGAATTCAAAGATCCGAATGAACATGGAATGAACTGTTTAACTAAGAAATGGAGTCACACTACATACCGTACCAGCACAAAAAGAAAGGAGACGCTAAACAGAGGGCCGGCCAGTCAAATTCTAGGTAAACAGATCGCTAAACACAATGTAAAGAAGGAACAGGTAAATCAAAGAAAAGAAAGAAAAGAAAAAACGCCACTGTTACGAGGAAAGCAAAACACATAGTACTGAGTCACACGACATACCGTATCAGCATAAAAAGAACGGAGACGCTAAACAGAGGGAAGCGGCCGGCCAGGCAAATGCTAGGTAAGCAGATCGCTAAACACAATGGAAAGAAGGAACAGGTAAGTCAAAGAAAAGACAACTGCTAAGAGAGAAACCCGCCACTGTTACGAGGAAAGCAAAACACATGGGGAAACGACAGCCCAGAGCACATCAAAAGTCCTCGGGAAGAAGATGCTCAACTTACCAACCGAAAGTAGTGACTACAGACCGCAGTTTAGAACAAATCGGAATTGACTGAAACGGTTGTGTAAAGAGTGTCTTCCAGACAACCAATCTACAGTAGGTTAGGAAGAAGTACCCAACCAAATGTGCGGTGGGGACGTCTCTTTGGATGGGGGCACAATGTTTGCAAGCTAGTTGCTGAGAACAGTAAACGTATCCACACCCAACTGATCAACTACACTTCGTCCTCAAGAGGAGTCATCAGATGAACCATGACTCGGCAAGGCACAGGTCATCCATGAGGTTTGATAACAAATCGGATCAAACATTTCCACCATTCACCGGTAGTCCCATCGTATGAGGAATTCAATTTGTCTACCTACAGTCCTCAGGTCAGTAAGCGCTCATTTCTTGTGGTCCCTTAAAATGAGGTCATAAAACAGGCGTACAACTTGGTAGTGTTGCCTTTCAAGTACGTCATTTCCTAGATTCTTGGATGGCTTACATTTTCACACCGCATACTCCATGTTGTCAGAGTTAATAGCTGGATTTTCTAGAGAATGTAGTGCATTTTAGCACCATGATCAAATATAGGTAATCTGATAAATAAAACCTTAACTGAAATACACTCACTCGCACGTCAGTTTTATCTTAACGAGAAACTGATGATCCCAAATAGAAAGGGCTGTTGTGGGCTTTCAAAGGGTTTTCAACAACTTTGTGAGTAGTGTTCCTTCAGGAGAATCCTGATCGCCTTAACAGAAGCAATTTTTCCATTTGTGTACTGAAACAGTTCGTTGTAACGAAAACTGCTGACACTGTTATCATCTCCTTACATAATTTGAACAGCAGTCGCTTGAACCCGGAACTGTGTTGGCTGTATCAAATAGTTTGTTGTAAGGTTTGTTCCCATGAAACTTTTCGGAGAATACGTCATTGATTTCGTTACCGAAATTCCGGCTGACGATTACCATGTGGTGTTCGAGGGACGCAGCAGTCAGACAGGTGCGGCCTGACGACACTGTCGTGCAGTTTAGTTTATATTTTGCTGAGGACGTCACGTGACACAAAGTTGCGGTTCACCACGTACAAAGAACTTGCAAAACACGGTAAGTACATGATTTAGGAGCCGTTTCGTCACACCTATAGGATAAACACACCTTGTTACTATCTTACTTGTTATGGGTGGAGTCATATAAACCGATGCAATGATGGACATGCCAATTTGTCTTGTTCAGTGAAACAATGCACATCAATGTAAAGGTTAGCTCGGACTACCTAGCTATTTCAGTGAGCGAGCAAGATACCATTAAATGGCTAACGGATACCGCTAGTTCACGTTATGGACAAAAAAACTTTCGAAACACATCTTCGGAGCAGAACAACAAGGATAACCTAGAATCACATGTGGAGAGCAGGCTTGGAACTGTAAAGTGTGTGAGACGACAAAGGGACCATGCCATATTGTTTCCCAGTGATCTTGTTGGTGACGTGCTAAATGATGGGGAGTATGTTGTCATAGGTAAGTTCATATTTTACTTCTTTCTAAGCAAGTATTAGTTAGTCGGAAGTTGGCTTAAGTGATTCACGCAGATTGCAGCAGTTAAGTCTGAACCTGTGTACCATCATGCTGGCCAGACACGTATTCCCCTATTCTCACGGGTTAACTTTAACACCAGAACAATGAGTTCTTTGCTTGTGCCAAGGCGAACTTTGAAAACCGCTTCTGTAACTACGACTGATTCAAAGGAGATACTATAACTTTTCTACGTTAAATATTAGTGACAGTGCTACTCCGCTATTTAGCCTTACTGAACTGAGAAGTTTACAACCCCTTATGACCAAATGCGGTCGGACCAAGCAGCAGACTTTTCAATCTGTAACATGCAAATGAATATTACTACTTGTCTGAAACTTCATGCGGAACTTCCTTAAGCATTGTTCAGATTTACCCAACTGAGGTCATCAACGCTTTTTGTAGCCTGGGGAGGCAGTCTCGTTCGGTCGCATAGGTAAGCCATTTGTCCGAATTCGCAATGACTGTGGGGCCAGACTGTGTCTAAATAATACTGTTTTCTAAGACAACAGGTTTCAGATGCACTTCTATCTTGTGGAATTTGCTTCTGGACTATCTGGAAAGGTATGGAATGAGAAAAATGTATTTTAAAAAAACATTGACTTGCAACAGTACGCAGCTAAGTGGCACAATACCAAGCTGTCACCGATTAACACTATGATAAGTAAAACTGCTTGCCACTATTTTAAACTATGAAAGTCGAGCTGGAAAGCACCAAGCTTATTGCTCTCGACACTGCTGATATGGTGAACTTTAGTGGTACGAATATCTGAGTAGTTTTTGGAGGATGAACATTGCTTGAAAGGAAATTTCGCGTGGTATTTATAACGTTAGCGTTTAAAGCCGTTTTGGGATACACTGCGATGCGAAGTTTCGATTTTATACCTAGCGTTTAACACCATAGGGTTGCCAATGAGTGAGGATATCCTAAGAATCTCTGTCATTGATCACGTTTGGAAAACCTCAGAAGGAAATGGGGCATTACTTTTCAGCATCGCAATCCTTCCTTCATGTCTGGTGTACTTGACACAACTCACCACAGATCACTCCAAATGTGTAGGATGTCTTTTGATGAAAACTTGGAGTTAGCATTAAAACTTGAACAAACCAACGGAGTTCAAGTACTCTTAGGTTGTTTCAAACCTTCAGAAGAGCCTTATTTCTTGTATAAACATAAGACACTAATAAGTTTGCTGAAAACTCTTTAACAACCACCCTTCGCATCCACTAGGTGAAGTCCCCGAGTTTCCATCAAACTTGTGCTTCAATTGAACCTAAACTGCGCCCGATTCGACGTACACTCATCTGCATATGAATTTGGTTTTGACTGGGACTCACTTGGAGCCCAACTGAATCTTTCGTTTATGATGTTCTTAAGCAAAGCCAAATTTCTATGCAGATAAGTGCATAACTTGTACCTTATTCCTTCTTTACTTAACATGTTACTGCCGATTCATTGTCTGACCATATTTTAGGAGTCATTTTCAAACAGGTACAAATAAGAAAGACAAGGAAGACAAAAAACGAACAAGTAATGGAGCTCATATAGCTTCGAAGTGTTTTACTAGATTCTCTGTTACCATCATGTCACCGTTCTCTACATGCTTATGAGTTCTGCACCTTTCATTCTATTTAGACTGAGATGTTTGGCGTTCTGCATCACCTCGGCTATCAGACTCGTAGTTCCTGCCTTAAGACTTTGGAATTTTGGAATTCATTCTTGTATCCCGTATCTAGTGCACGTCCCAACAGTGCTGAGTCTTTCGGTAGATTTCGACGCTCATCTACGCTTCTTCGTGGTCTTTTTATGTTTCCTTTGTGCTCACTGATCCTAGTATGGACTTCTCTAACCGTTTGCCCTCCATAGACCTTAGTTGAATTGTTGCATTCAATTTTTAGACAGCTCCTGGTTCTATTCACTGAGAGGCTAAAGTTCAATTACACCAGTGCAGAGTGTAGAGTATTTCGCTTCTGGAATGCCAGTCTTATGTTAGTCGTTTTTAGAATTCTTCCAATGGTTTCTAATTTGTATTGAATAACTGGAATCCTAGTAAGTTCCGGTTGGATTTCGCCACTCCTACAAATACCCTTCGTAATAGACTCTTATTCACATCAGCTGGATATCCATTGCTCAGAAATCTGTTCGGCAGTCCACCTCGGGCCACTGTCTAACCAGATCCTTTAATTGGTTAAAAACTGGCAAGACATTACTAGGGAGTGGCAGATGAATAGACCGAAGTTGTCTCAGTATCACTTGCTTCTGGGATATGTGGTCTCCCATCAACACTATGTGTGATAGAATATAACAGGTGTGGTGTGCCCGAAGTTGACCCTGCTAAATGAGGTGTGGGGATTCATGTCATTCAGACAGTTGTAAAATTCACTGACCACGTCTCGTAAATAATGGCAGCAGTGTCATTGTCGACGGGTTCTCATTCTGCCTAACAATTGGGACAACCCGGTAACCCACCTAACTGTAACTGGCCTGACGAAGTGGCTGTTTCAAAAGTAAAACATTGCTTAGCTATAAAACCACTAATTGTCCACCGAAACAGTGATTTCTCATTTGGTTCTGAACTTTTAGCAATTGGTTAATGAGTGTTCAACCGGTTAGAGTGTCCTGGATATGGTGGACATGATGATGGCATGATATTTTCGGTCTATAGACATCCTTCAGTGCTCCAAGAGATTTCTTGTGACATCGTCGATCCGCATACGATTAGATTACCTGACACTTTAAATCAGCACATATTCCTAAGTCTTCGTGCGTAGTACAAAAATTCTGTTTTTTCTATACCCCTGGCACCGGGGCATCTGACGACTTTCGGAGTGTCTTGATAAGAATCTTGTTATTCTCACTGACCAAAAAGCACACCTAGTTTTCATGAACCCATCTCGAACCCTTTTTTTGAAACAAGTGGTTTCAGTCGCCACCATCCTAACATGTCTTTAGACTAGTTCATTGTTCTTCCGACGTATGCGGTCCTACTGAGTTAAAAATTGGTACTTCTGTAATGTTGGATGGTCCACCAGCTTCTTAATACTGTGCTTGGTTACAGCAACCTCGCCACATGATGAGGAAACCTTCCTGGGTTCAACGGAACCAATGCATAATCGGTGTGTCAGTCAGCATACTAAATGACCTTTGTTACGAGAAATTACGTGAGGTCCCTTTGTCTTGCGGTGGCCATGTGCCATAAAAGAAAATGTTCACTTCTAAATTCTCATACTTGCTTTCCGGACCAGTAATGTGACAAAGTCCTTTCTCGCCACCAACCCTACTCCCAAAACTGTTTTCTTCGACATTAGTGGGATCTTCGAACGAGAGCCAGACCACATGCCCCTACTCCACTGTGCCTACACACTCCACCCCATCTTCACGTGCATTCTGCCGATAGTGTCCCATCAGATGGGCAAGTATTCATCCATCGCCCTTCATAATTCGGGGTATGTTACCTCCCAAAAGCTCCATCAGATTTTGACCAGGGATAAACCTAAGTCTACATCAACAGTATTCGCTTGTTATTTTCCCGTTCTTCCAAGTCCGGTAAATATTCTCCGTCTTGGTGATCAAACAATGCCGATCTCTGTGTTGTTGCATGAAAGAATCACACGCATGAACTCTATCTCAGTGATTCCCTATTATGCGTCT